AATATCAACTGCCTGTCAATTCCAGCCATTTCGCCAACAGAGGAATTTACCTATCTGGGTGTTCCTTTCAATTACAAGGGCAGGCGCTGCTTCGATCATGTCGGCGTCCTCAATGAATACTTAGACAATGTGAAAAGCGCCCCCTCTTAAACCTCATCAACGAATAAGAATCCTGGAGAACAATCTGATTCCTCGTCTACTATATTCACTGACCGTCAGCATCACTCACAAGAATACTCTGAAAACGATGGACAAACTTATTCGTGCAGCTGTCCGCCGCTGGCTTCACCTCCCGAAAGACACTCCAACTGCATTTTTCCACGCGGATATCAAAAAGGGAGGCCTGGGAATTATGAAACTCTCAACAACGATTCCGATTCATAGGCGCAAAAGAATCGAGGCACTACTCAACAACAGGAATCCGCTCATACGCAGCATCGCGTCCTCCGCCACCTTCACACCTTTTCTTACGATCTGCAATCTTCTGATGCAAGCCCATAGACAAATAGTAACATCAGTAGAAGAAGACAATGAAAGCTGGGCACAACAGCTACACTCATCTGCGGATGGTTACGGTTTGACTGAGTCAACAAAATGCCCTGAATCTCACAAATGGCTTCTCAACCCCGAAATGGTCTTGCCTAAACTCTATGTACGAGCCGTTCAACTGCGTGGAGGCCTCTTGGGCACAAAAACGAGAAGTACGCGTGGACGTCATAGAGCGGACATCAACTGCAGAGACGGGTGTGGTCAACCGGAAAATCTTCAACATATTCTTCAGCATTGTGCTCTAACTCATGACGTCAGATGCAAGAGACACAACTACGTCCTCAAGCTGATCGCTAACAAATTGCGCAAAATGAATACCAGATTTTGCGTCGAGCCATGTGTTCCAACGTCCACGTCTTTCTGTAAACCTGATCTGATTATCTTGTTAGACGGAGTAGCATACATTCTCGACGTAACAATCTGCAGCGACGCCTTCATTTATATCAGCTATGCGTCGAAGATGTCAAAATACGGAACTCCAACGATGGTTGCTGCATGCCAACGGTTCTTGTCTGCAATGGGATATACAGTTCAAAGAATCTTGCAAATTCCTGTTGTAATCTCTTATCGAGGGATGATCAGTCAACTCTCGGCAAAATACCTTCGCAGACTGCTTTTCACCTCCTTCGACATTTTGCACCTCTGCATCTCAACCATCAAAGGCTCTTTGAAAATCTATGATACTTATATGCGTGGAACGTATAGACTCAGACGTGGAAAACAAATGAACCAATGATGTTGTAAATTTATTGTCATATCAAACTACTCTGTGAACGTTTACTGTACTGCCATCTGTTGTAATACACTGCGAGACAAATCGTGACACTCATACACATATATATATACTCATTGAACCTATAGTACTGTTATGAACCTCCTAAAATACGTGACAATTTTGTTTATTCTATATCTTCTAATTGCTCCACACTATGTACACGCAAAGAGCATATTGTCCTTATAAAACTCTCCGATGTTAAAGACTATTGCTACACACAACTGGCGCTGATATCCTATGATTCACATATGTAAGCAACATCCAAATGCTCAAAATTGAAAAGATTCTTGTATCACATTTAATGATTTTATAGATATTAGATATTAAAATCACACTTCTGCGCCACACATGAATGTCTTACATGGACACATGACATGAACAATCACACATACAAATACATAAAACAGATAGTCCTGCAGCAAAAGTACATATTATTCGAAATAACATGGGCTGCTGTGCAAATTTTCTATTTTTCTTTCTTTCTTTTTTTTACAATTAAGTAATATTAAAGAAATTTTCCATGTATTTTTGTGCGTGTATTCAACTTGAATATTGTAAAGATAGTCCATTCGCGGAAGTGAATAGACAATTTTTATTTAATATTCGAAAATAAATGTGTTATATAAGTGACAACACTCGGAGCTCAGCCACCAGGTACTCAGGGTCTACAAAGGATGACACACAAACTAACTTTGGCAGATCATACGGAACAAGTCTTCCGGGAAACAAACCACAGTGCAGCTATTCATATAACGAAACCCAAGTAAGGTCACTTAGAATGTCTCCAAACAATAGGCAGATTAAGAAGTCGTGGGCATCACAAGGTACCAATGATTTGTTATGCAACACATCCCTGTCAGCGCTAACCAAACAACCGGTGGGGATCTTAAATCTTCTGAACCCGTATCACTAGTGTCGGCTTCCTATCGAGAAGAAAACAGACACAGGCCAGTGCACAAGGAATTGTCAATCACATCCAATGCTTGTACAAGCATAGGCCAAATGAGAACTCCTACCCAAGTCTCCAACCTACCCAGGCCTAGAACTACCTCATCCTATATTGAATCCAATAATAAAACTCACTATACCCCAAAAGAAATAGATGGTATTTCGATAGATATAGGTGAACATGATACTCACACTAATTGCAGCATGGGGTTGTTATGCTATGTGGAACACTTAAGCCTGATTAACAAGCTTAAATACTTCAAACACTACTTCAAATCTCAACTCTACTTAATACTTATTAATGCTAGATCTATCCTTAACAAACTACCGATGTTCAGGGCACACACGCTGGTATGCAAACCCCCAACAGTTATTATTAATGAGTCCTGGTGTCGCTCCAATATACCAGACGAAGAGATAAGCATCGATGGGTACACACAGTTTCGCTGTGGTAAGGGAGGAGGCTGCCTAATGTACTTCCTGAACACACTGTGTTGCAGCTAGAAAATAGGAAACTCAATGACATGCACGACACCCTATGGGTCAACGTACGCTTCAAAAGTGCTACACTACTAATAGGATGTATCTACAGAGCACCTGGCACCTTTAGTGAATACGAGACACAACTTATAAATGTACTGGAGCAAGTATCTACTCTTCCATACGGGCATAAGATCATATGTGGAGACTTAAACCTACCCGAAATCAGCTGGGATTTATTAACAGGGCCGACTAAATACGACAAGCTCTTAGGGACACTGGACATCTTCGGCTGGAAACAAACTGTCCCTATGCCTACAAGAGGTGACAATGTACTAGACTTAATATCCTGTCACGATATAAGCCCTCTCTCAATCTTAGTGGGTTCTAGGTTTTCAGGTAGTGACCAAAAAACAGTGATGTGTGCAGTGTCACTTCCACTGAATAGCAATGCAGCTCATACCTCCACTTCACAACAAGTACTACGTAGGAACTATAATAGGGAAAACTGGGTCTTGGTAGAATCAGTGCTAAGATCCTCCGAATGGAGCGAATACTTCACTACTGATGACCCCTCGAGAGCTCTGAGCATCTTCTACCATAACTCGAACACATGCTTAGATGCTGTCATTCCACTCCAAACACTTAAGCTTTCCCCACATAGAAAGTCATTCATAAAACCAAAGGATCGAACGAAACTGAAGAGACTCTCAACAACCTACTTCAAACACCACGACTTTGGCACACTAGGCTTAATACTTAACACCCTTAGCTCCATCTCACAAGCTCGAGATATCTGCATGAGAAACGAAGAACGCATCGCAGTAGCCAGTCCTGCTAGAGTGTATGCACTCACAGAAATCTTAAAGAAGCGAATGAATCGCAAAAATCACAGCATTTCTCTCCTCATAGACAAAGGTAGGCTATGCAATAATTCTGCAGTCATGTGTGAATTATTTAACTCAACTTTTGCAGGTAACTACCTTAAGCCAACAGTCCGGTTACTCGATATACACCCTGCTACTAATATGGCACAAACTTCATCTCCACACACACCAATCTTAATCAGTTCTGTTGGTTTTACTTATACTAACATTAAACAAACTATAAGAACCCTAAAATGCTCTAAATGTCTTGGTACTGACGGTATGTCATCCTATTTTTATAAATCTGGTGGCCCTGACATCTTCTCACTACTGCTTAAAATATTCACAATGTCCCTAGAAACCCAAACTTACGCTGATATGTGGAAAACAACGTTTATTATGCCTGAACACAAATCTGGCTCGAAAACAGAAGTCAGTAACTACAGGCCGATCAATATCACACCTATAGCATCTAGGATTATGGAGAGACTAGTTAAAGACAACCTAATCAATCATATGCTTAGCTGCAAAATTATAAGTCCGAACCAACATGGATTCCTAAAATCCAGATCTTGTTTAACATGCCACCTAGACTTCTTTAACTTTGTGACCAGCAGGCGTGACAGACGACAACTAGTACTTGTCATCTACTTTTACATTTCTAAGGCATTTGACCGTGTCGACCATTTACTACTATTACATAAGCTGAAATCCTTAGGAAAGCGTGACCCACTATTAGGATGGTTAAAGTCATTCCTCAACAACAGGTCCCAAATAGTTAAACTCGGATCTATAACTTCGAAACCTAGCCCAATCACCTCTGGTGTAGTACAAGGTGGTGTCATTGGACCCCTCCCATTTACTGTATATATTAACGACATATGCGCTTGCTTCTCTCATGGGAAACCGTTCATCTTTGCAGATGACCTAAAAGTAGCTTATACATTCCAATATGATGACCTAGGGTTCTTCCGGAATGTTGTACAAAAAGAACTAGATAAAGTGACTGCTTGGTCGTCTTTATGGAACCTACAATTTAACCTTAAAAATGTGGGTGGATCTGCTTCGGTGCACCCTCAATCGACATGAAATTGACGCTTCAATCAACTAACCTAACGAAACTCCAAAGTGTCGTTGACTTAGGTCTGAGGTACTCGAGCAACCTAACAATTTCTGAGCAAGTGGCATCACAGACTCGAAAGTCGAGGATGCTCTTAGGATGCATATTCAGGAACTTTCACGACAATGAAGCCGAGCGAATTCTGTACTAAACCTGTGTGAGGCCACCACTAGAATGCTATTATTTATTATTAGTAGCACTCACACACGTGAAAAGCTAAGGATGGAAAGTGTCCAACAATACTTCACCTCCAAACTACTTGGCTACGAATGTAAGAAGGACTACATCTCACGGTGCATGATTCTACAACTTGACCCACTCTGGACAAGACGACTAATTATAGTTTACATTTTGCAGTTTATTTAGGATAGCAGGCTATATGCCTGTGTTCATCCTTTTGATTTGTTACATACAGGAGGTGCAATCTCGCCTTGAATGAATCAACGGATGGCGCTGCTACGACATGTTCCGGTAGAGAGTTCCAATTGTTCACAATTCAGTGCGAAAGACGGATCTCCAAACGCAGACGATTCGACCGTGGTTATTAAAAGTTGAGGTGATGTCCTCGCAATTGGTTGGTGCTAGAAGGAAGAAATAAATTAGATAAATTAGATCCAAAATCATTTCTTAGGATACGATATGCTAGTATTAGGTCACCCTTAAGTCGTCTGTATGACAGTGGAAATAAACCCAGTCGACTTAACCTCTCCTCATATGAGAGGGTTGAGAAACCCTTTATTAGCTTAGTTCCTACTCTTTGCACCCTTTCTAATAAGTCTATTTCGTATTTGAAACACAGGCTCGCTGCCTGGATCCCATATTCCAAATGAGGTCTGATATAAGTCGAATATAATATACGAAATATATCAGCGTCAAAGTTCGCAAAAGCCTTGCTTATGACCCATAATATTCGAAAACCCTTAGTGGCTGCAGCTCTGCAGTTTGTTGCTGTTTTCAAGTCATGCTGCACAACCACTCCCAAGTCCTTGTACTCAGTGACCACTGGGAGAGCAATGCCATTCATTGAGTAATTGTGCACGTGACTATGGGATGCATGCATAACTACACTCTTGTTTAAGTTAATCTCCAAGGCCCAGTGCTTACACCAATCACTTAACAAGTTTAAATCTTCCTGCAAAGCAAGTTGGTCACTGTCATCGTGTAAAGCCCTCCATATCTTGATGTCATCAGCAAACAGTAAGCAGGATGAATTAACTACCGATGGAATCTCGTTGACATAAATCAGGAAAAGAAGTGGGCTTAGAATTGTACCCTGAGGAACACCACTCTTAACCGATTCCCATGTTGATGAAACCCCGTTAACTCGTACTCTTTGTCTTCTGTCCTTTAGAAAGTCTTGAATCCAGTCGGTAACCACTTTATTGATTCCCAGACTACCTAACTTTACTAGAAGACCTGAATGAGAAACCCTGTCAAACGCCTTGCTAAGGTCGATGAATATGGCGTCATCTTCAGACGGGCAGTCTGTGTCACTGTTACTAGCCACGCTCTCATCAGGAAGTTCCATGGCCTTAGACAGTAGTTCGTGAGCCTCCCCTATCAAAGTCATCTTTGGGGAGCAACACATTCTGCACATCCGGTGGGATGTTGGAGCACTACAACGTTTGTATGCAGTTGGACGTAATCCAGTACACATCTTATGATACCACTTTTTACAGTTATTGCACTGTATTCCATCATCTACCAAAAAGTAACACTCCGCCCTATTACATCTATGTGGTACTTTTGACATAATGAACTACTGGAACAGCCAAGACAATTTACCCAATAGAGACTATATAAGTGTTTAAAATCAAAGCTTAACAGACAAAAGTCAAGTTAAATTTCTAAAAATGTTCTTGAAGTGAATAACACAACAAAAACAGCGATTTGTCAAGTATGTGAAAAAAGCACTCATTTTTTCAAACAGCGCGCGACAAGTGTATTCTTCTATAAGGTCCTACACAAAATATCATTCTCAGACAGTAAGGACATACAATTCGCACAAGAAGGCTCCTACGATCTGCGTAACCAAACTTGCACAGTGACAATAAAAGCCATTAAGTCAGCACTCCGCGAAAACTTCTTCACAGTCACGTATTCTAAAATATGGAACAACCTGCCCCTAGAAGTCAGGAACTACAATACGGTTATAAGTTTCAAACGCTCTCTGTACAGACTGTTTCACTCTACCGATTATATAAATAAACTATTTATTCCTAGAACGAATCAACTATTAGTCTGCTACAGTACCTAAACGCGCTTAAATACCTTTACTTCTCTAAAAGCTATAGATAAACTGGTAGCATAGATGCATATAAAGCCCTAGTGGGAATAAATATTTGTTCACCAAATTAAAATGTACAACGAATATAAACATATATGTCCCACTCCATGTACTCTTTCTCTGCCCTTTGGTACTTTGCTGCTCGCCTCTTCTGTTGTATTTGTCTTGTAGTAGAAGCTGCACAGATCTACAGAAACAATTGAAGTCACTTACCCATATATCATCCCTCAAGGTTTGGCTAGTAATGGCTCAGCATCCTTGATGAAATCCACCGTCACCATAACAAGACGCTGTACAGCATCTTATACAAGCACTGTCAATGATCTAAAATGGCTTACATATAGCTTTCTACGTGTTAATCAACTTACTCGTACGGAACAACCATGCGGTGACAAATGGCCGGCTCTGGGTGACTTGGGTGAAGTAAAACAAATCTGCTTGATGATGACCAATATTAATCTGCATTTAGTTGAATTCACATCTGGTAATACTTGCGATAAAAATGATGTCGAAATCATACAAATAAATCACTCATTTTAAATTAATACTCAATTTGAACATAAAACAAGAACAAGATACGATGCCGCACACAACAAAGTTATATGGAGAAATTGACTTCAAGCTTTATTTTTTCCCAAATATTTGTATTCCATCTAACACATATTTGGGTTTTTTTTGTTAATGCGAAGACAATATTACTATATTTCTTTATGTGCTCCATTGAACGACTAACTATCAGAATGTACTCACAAACTAATGTCAGAAAGGACAGAGGCCATGTAATTTCACTATAAATCAAATTCATGTAGTGTAAATAATACTTATCCATGCCTGTACAACTGGTGTGTCCTTCATAGATAGGAAATAAATATATATATCTCAGACAGACTATTTTGCAGAATGTTCCGACTGACTCTATTGTCAGAAAGAACAAACCAACTGCAAATACAACATACATCGAAACATGTGTAATTTATATAACAACTTATCCATGCCTGCACAATTGGAATGTTCCATCATGAACAAGAATAAATATATATTATTTATATGGAGTATCTGTAATGTATCAATCACCAAGTCTAAGGGTAGTTCCCAACCTTGTTGTAGTGTGACAGCTATGTCGTCAATACAAGTAATCATGCAACTTCAGTGGCATACCCCACTTCAACGTGCGCTGATTATGTCTCAAGCTCAGGCTGTCTCCACGGTCCTTTGCATACTCGTAAGTGCTTGCGAGGCCTAGATCTTTACATGTATTATCACTATGTATACGATCCATGATGTGAATATCAGCAAAATATTTGAGCATTGTGGAACTGATCAAATAAAGTATAGTTGTATTTTGATGGTTTACGCACAATGACATTTTTTGTTCTTGGTAATATTTCGAGCAAAATTACTGCCCGAGTTCACACCACTGTTGGAATTGTTTCGTTGTTTTGTATGAGCACGGGCAGCAATGTCTCTCTAAATTTTACCAAGAACAAAACCTATCATTGTGTGTAAATTACTGAAATAGAAGTATACTTTTCTGATCCAGGATGTTGTTTACTACTCAAGCAGTTTAGGGGAGTTTAACATCCGAACTTTATGTGTCTGCAGCAGCAGACCTGTAAGTAGATTTAGAGTTTGACGGTATCGACGTTCGCGAATTGTACGGAGTATAGTGACGCTAGATCTTATACCAACAACTTCTATGATATTCGTTTGTCGTGTACCAAAGACAAAGCAAACGACCAGATTTAGTCGTCCAAAGTACGTGATATATTCCGGGACCAAATAGTAAACCGTATCGAGTGAATTCTTGGCTGTCTATTGATCGTGCACGCACGTGACACGACGGAGTACCAAATGGCGAGGATGCCTGACTGGAAGCCTTGAGCCAAACAAGTCGACTTAAACAGTGAAGGCCAGCATCCAAAGTTAAGTGATGATTGCTGTGGTCAAAAATTTTGGGGTATCATTTCCTGCTACACAGTCGTTAAGAAACTGCACGTAGTGTTCTGCGGGCCTATTTATTCTCTTTGGTTTGTGTTTTTACTAGGATTTGAAGAAGATTTGGAGTCAGATGCTCAGTTTGGACTATTGGCATTTCGGATAGAGTTTAATCTCTGAAATAAAAGAGAATAATCATGGTGTCTTTAAGGTCCGTTTTAGATTATCGGAGATTTAAACTGTCTAGTGCTTCTTACAATCGACAGTCTATACGGTTGAAAATATTGAAATGGAGCATAAAGATACTCCATACAAATACTATAAATGCAAAGATGCGATAACAGTAGCACTTAAGTCGGCACTAATTATAACGGACAATTCTAACCGGAAGAGTTATATTTTATGAAAGGACAGGACTAAGTATGTGACACTATCCGTGAGAGACCAATTAAAAAGCCACTTATAGAGTAGAAGAGAATTGATGAATAGCACACGAAAACTCAACACAGCCTTCGAATTGCCGCTCTTTTGACTTCTGGTGTCCCTTACGATGAAAATGCCGGCAAAATTATTTTATTCACATAAATTAGGCATATACATGATTGACATATCATTTGTACAGGTGTGATCATATCTGGCGAGTGCAATTTGAAATGGAACACTGTTCTACGACACTAAAAACTGAAAAGATGGGAAAAGGACCAGAAACTTTATAAGAAGTTTGTAACGTTTACTTTTGATCGAAAAAGCTACTCACATTGCACTGGGTGAGCAAACGACACTTGAAGGTGAAGGGAAACCCAAAAGGAGCAGTAGGTCTCGAAATGCATGAGAACACTCCTAGGAAATCTACCGATCCCACACATGAAGTAGACATAGATGCTCCCTCTACCGATAACCTGCAAATATTGGCAGGTCACACTGTATCCAGGGCCAAGCAAGATAGTCTCACTGTAAAAGCCGGAAGAAGTTCCAAAACCAAGGTCTCTCCACATGCGTCCATATACCTGTCTTGTGAAAAACCCAAAAGCCAGCATGTAAGCCTAAAAAAGAACTATACACGCATTGCGGCAGGTCCCATAAAGGCGACGGAACACGTGAGTGGAAGTGCTCTTCTTCGAACTAATAGTAATAGAAAAACTATAGGCGACAGACTATACGAGGTGAGAACTAACATCAAAAATAGCTTTATCCACACAAAATCACATGCTAGCAGACACGCAGGGGGCACCGAGCTGATTAAACAGCAGAGTGAGACTCACGATTACTGTAATAGCCGAGATGTTAATATGCTTATGGGCACATACAACCTGAGAACGGGACCCATAATAAATAATTAAAACACATAGGCGACTAGACGAGACACCACTAGGTACCATATGAACGGAAATGTATTCTCGAACCCTCGCAGTAGGTAAGCAGGGCCCTTTCGACATAACGAGTATAGATTGGCTCACAGTCCTTCTATGTACATGGCACTTCGGCCCTGTGAATTACAATCTGAACAGCGACACATACCATCTAATGTTGAGAAATGATTCCAGACCAGAAACCAATATATGCAACAGGATTATTTAAGGCTGCAGCAAACAATGGCCCTTTTCGCAGCACAGTTTGTTCAGGGAATAGTAGACACGCTGACACTGTCTCATCTGAGAATCCCTCCGGACATAACATAAGCAACCAGGAGTTAGGGGTAGTAACAAAGAAGCCTACTAACTATCCTCCCAACAACCGTGGTTTTCTGAAAATTATGCTCTTAAATGCTCCATCTCTCCTTAACAAAATAACTCCCCTTCGGGGCTTGGTATACATAAAACGGCCAACACTGGACCTGGTAACTGAAACTTGACTAACTAACGATATGCCTGACACAAAGCTGATAATTGGTAACCATGACATTCACAGGAATGATACAATGAACAAAAGGGGAGGTGCGTGTCCGATATATGCTTCTAAATCCACTGACTCCAATACTTTTACAAACCTAACTATCGACGAACTCCCGGAATCTGAGTGGATAAGCATCCACACGAATGAAAATAAAATTCTCATGGGATGGATATACAGAGCCTCTTACAGCCCTTAAACGACTGATACGGTTATCGGAGAAATACTACAGCATGTACCTACGCTGGAATGTGACTACAAACTAGTTTGTGGCGATGTCAATGGACCATATGAGGTATTAAACGTACGGATAAATTCTTTGTCTTAGACAAAAGAGGCCGCGAAGACATCCGTCTGAAACCGGCTTACTTAAAAGGTATTCCTATTAGCCTGGAGCTAAACGTACCTGATAATCCACAAGTAATTGAATATCCCTTAGTCCTCGAAGAACTCTCAAGCACGGCGGAAGCCACCGAATCTTCGGTCGAGCCCTCTAGGAAAACGCGTTCTGGACGTCACGTAAGATTCCCAGAATACCTTCACACCTATATCACGTAACTGAGTGGTTCGATTAACCCAACTCATTCGTTTGTGGCATTAATCATTATTTCTTCTTTGCAGACAGATCAACTTTTTTATGTAGCATCACTAAACACAAGCAAAAGTTTTTTCCTATAGCTGTGCATTATACATGCACTTATAAAAAAGATGCATACTTTTTTCGATGTTTTGAACTTTACTGTATCGTAAATGCACGTCATTTATCTCAAAAACGCTCATTTGGTACATTTTCCTCAACAAGGTTCTTAGCATTCTTGTTTTCTTTTCCAGGTGCCACGGGCACTGGACAAGGAACAAGCGAAGCACGGGATCCAACGAACAACATCGAGGAAGCCATGTACGGACACCAAATAAGCATAGCCAGGCAGGCCAGTAGGCACTCCACCAGGCCGCCCCGAAGAGTTTTTGCCCATAAGGGAACCATCGAGAACAGTTTCCTTCCGGCGGGTCCTATTTTTAGGTCCTCACAACCCCACTAGTGGGAAGCGAGCTGTAGCGGTAAATAATTCCCTAAAATTATTGACCACAGCAATCATCACTCAACATTGGATGCTGACCCTCACTGTTTAAGTCGACTTGTTTAGCTGAAGGCTTCCGGTCAAGCATCCTCGCCATTTGGTACTCCGTCGTGTCACGTGCGTACACGATTACTAGCTAGCTAAGCATTCACTTCTACCCGCGATTTTGTCCCGAAATATACCACGTACTTTGGACGACAAAATCTGGTCTTTTGCTTTATCTTTGGTACTCGAAGAACGAACACTATAGAAGTTGTTGGCATAAGATCTTGCATTGGTATAATCCGTAGAACTCGCGAACATCGATACCTGTAACCTCTAAACTGTCAACTGGAAATCTAGACACAAATAGTCTCACTTGTGATTCTTCGCTTAGGCGGATATTAAAGTATCAAACTTATAACTCGGCAATCCCACCAAGTTGAGGTTTTGTAGGACGATGGCTGAAGATTGATTGCGACAGACACTAAGTGGCCTTGAGTGAACAATCTGAAGAAAGCACTCTGAAAACCCTTGAGTTCATCAGCAAATTGTGTATTGAAATGATTGGAATACCCCCTAACCCTAACACCTCATACGACAATTAATCCTATCTCTGAACGTTTAAAGTAGACAAATCGGACG